TGCCCCAGGGCCTTTCTAGCTTGTAATCTTGATGGCTGCAGATTGTCAGGTCTTTATTGCTGCAGTGTGCCTGGTAGTTTCGAACTGCCTGCCTTGCAGTTAGCAGTGGCCCGTAATCATTTTGCTACCAGGGCTCCTATTGTGTGGAAGAATTCTTTAATGCTGAAACTGTGATTTTTGCCATATGGAGGAAAGAGAAAGCTGGTAACACAGAAATCTTTTCCAGAATTCTGCAGGTCATGGCCTACCTTGAGGAGTGTGCTCCCATTGACAGCAAGGCTTTTAGATACTCCAAAGGGCTGTTCCTGGAAAACAGTTGCCCAGAGGTAGGGAAAGGTTTGCAGAGGAGGAAGTGCTAAATGAGGCTGCACGTCAATAGACATGTCTCACATTTAGTCTCGCCTATTTTTCTGCTCTAGGCAAGCTCCTTGCACAAAGGAGGAAGGCCTACAAAGCCACTGAGGTGATGAGTACATGTACATGCAGATCTATGTATGTGACATGCCACACCTTCCCTGGAACATGTTCGAGGCCCGTCACATGTGGCGGGTCCATGGCAATGTCATAAACAAAGGGCCTCACGTGAAACCATTCATTCATTTTCCTATGGCTGCATAGCAAACGACGCATATTTAGGGTGTAAAATCGCACAAACTCATCTCCCAGCTTCCCTGGGTCTGAAGTCTGGGCAGGGCTGGCTTTGTTCACTACTTAGCTGAAGGTTTTCAGAAAGAAACCACTTCCAAACTCATTCAGCAAGTAGGCAGAGTCGATACCCTTGCAGCTGGAGAACCGGGGTCTCCTCTCCTTTGTGGCTGTCACCCCAGGTCCACTCTTGCCTTTGCCCACGTACATTCCCTGTTTTCATGTGGTGCCTTCGATTTTCAAAGCTGCATTGGTATATTGTGCTTTTCTCTAACTTAGAATTTCTGATTTCTTCTACCAGAGTGGGATAAAGTTTCCCTCTTTTAAGGCCCCATAGGAAGTGGCCGCCTGGAACCATCCAGAGATTTCACCTATCTTAAAGCCAAAAGTATCACATATCATAATGCAATCATTGGGGTGTTTAAGGTTCCAGGGTTAGGGCAGCATATATTTAGGGAAACTTTTTAGGAATTCTCACCACCATTAAGGCTGTAAATCTTTAAAGGAGCAGGCACCTAATCTCCCATGAGCAGCTGGTGGGTTTGAACCATGAACCTTGAGCATACTTGACAGACACAAGACCTCAGTGGGGGACCTCCAGTTAAAAAGGGCAGATGGAATGCAAGCATTTATCTTTGATCTCTATAAAGTGTACTAAAATGACTCAAAGGTGTAAATAGAATGTAAACCTGCAACAATAACTAGGGGAGAAACAACTGACAACAGAGATCAAGAAAATGTTGGAAGGAAGACAAAAGGTTATTGCAACTGACTTAGTCAAGCATAAGAATCACAGCCCAGGTGCTGATATGCCACTGGCATTGAGTTGATTCTGATTCAGAACAAGCCTGTCAGATTGAGCGTAACTGGTCCAGAGGGTTTCCAAGGCTGTCAATTTTACAGAAGAAGCAGACAGATACATCTTTTCTGCCAAGGTTGGTGCATTTGATCCCTCGATTTTTTGACGAGCAGCCAAATCCATAACCATTGTGACACCAGTACTTCTTTAGAGAAGAACAAAGATCAGGAGAGTCCACACAATCTGAACAACCATAAAGGCTAGGACTTGGAGGCATGAAGTGTCACAGTCAGTGGGGATGAGGTGCCCAGGTGAAAAGATAGCAATTGATTACTTCCTAATTTGAGAGAACAGGTAATAGAAGGAAGAGTGGGAACAGGACTACATGATAAAATTAAAATTTAACAATTACAGAAAAACAATATGTCTCATGTTGATGAAACAACCCTATGGAAGTACATTCTTTCAAGACATAACATTTAATAACCAGGGGAAATACCTCAATTTTCTTCAGTAGCCTTTGGAGAGGGAGACAAAGACTAGGGAGGGTGGCTGAGACTGTGCTATAATTTGAATCCCTATGATCTGAGTTTTTAATTGTTGGCATATAACACTTTGATGTGTGTGTGTGTACTTCATATATATATCACATGGCACAACAACAACCAAAAGAAATTCATAATTTGGTGGGTCAGATTGGCCTAAGATTAACCAAGATTTTGTCAAGGTTTTATAATTATGAGCTGTCTGACTTGGACATGTTTCCAAACATCCCTGGAATTCAAATTTCTCATTTGTAAAGCATTCATAATTATTCCCTCATAAGATTCTTTGAAGAAGAAATGAACTATATACGTGTGTACATGATACACGTATGTACACGTGTATGTACACATGATACACGTGTGTACATGATACACACACACACACACACGAAGGGTCCTCAAAAAGTATGTGAAGAATGGAATTAAAAAATAATGGAGTATGTCCATGAACTTTTGAAGCTCCCTCATATATAACCACATGCGTAATTTGTTCTTCCCTTTCTTCCACAAAAAAGTTTTGTAAAATTTTAAACCTTGATTAAACAAAACAATATAGAATATGCACTAAGATTAGAAACACAAATAGAAAAATAAACCAGTACCAAGCTTGAGCTACACCGATCTATAAACATGGTGGCATTTAGCTATGTTTCCTTAGTTTTTAATTCTTGTAACTTGGGATCACTATTTACTTAGAAAAGCATATGACAACTCCATTTCTTCCAACAAAGCAGATGTAGGAAGCTTCTTATAAGTAGCTAACACTCTCCTTGACATCTAAATGTCCAATACTACCTACATGTTAGAAATGTACACAACCCTACAAGTCTATTCGGACACATCACGACCCGATACAGGGTTGACGGGACTGTAAATCTTTATGGGAACACATAGCCTCAACTTTCTCCTGTTGGCTGCTTTGAATCTCCAGCTTTGGGGTTAGTAGGCCAGGGCTTACCTGGCAATGCCAGCAGGGCTCATTAGGTAGATTCTTAATAAATCAGAAATGTCTGAGTCAAAAATGAAAACAAAATAGTTGTAAGAAGTGAGGGAGGTCTTTTTTTGCCTCATTTCTCAAGACAAAAAGATATGCCATATGCAGGCACTTAAGTTTTGATACTTTACTCTTCTTGCTGATGTTCCTCTGCTGTACCTTTCTCGATTGTACAAGTGCACACTTTGCATAAAAGTGGTAGACTGCTGAAATATAGAAAACCACCCACCAAGCTCCCATGCAGATAAATTGTTTTAGGACTGAAAAGGCATTCAAAGTATTAGCTGATTATACCCCAATGTGTGAAGGCATCTCTTTTATTGTATTGTTTTGCTTTTTCACTTGTTATAGTGAATGCCATATCTCTTAAAGATGGCTATATAGAAGTAAATACTATCCATTAAATATTAATCACTTGCTTATTAGCACTACCACAGTTAAGATGAAAAATCATTAACAGTATAATTACTTTTAAAGAATATGCACATCCTAAGAATTCCTTGAGTCAAATATTCCAGGAGGTAAGCAGTGTTACCTCTTTCCGGGACCCGCTCTCAGCTCAAACTGGATATATGTGTTTGCACAGATTTTTCAGTGGTATTGCTGAGTAGGTATAAACTATGCATGTTGTCCTTCCTTTTATCACCAATCTGTATGCCTTTGTGAGATGATCTGAGTTATGTATTTGTTGTCTAACCATTATGACCTGTTTATATTGACTCTCAAATTTGGGTATAATTTCTTTTTTCCTGTGTATTCCTGTGGTGGCACAGTGCTTAAAGCACCCAACTGACAACTGAGAGGCTACTGGCTGAACCCACCAGTTGCTCCACTGGGGGGAAATGAAGCAATCCGCATCTGTAAAAACTTACATCCTGGGAAATAAGATGCAGTACTGATATCCTGTCTTATAGGGTCATCATAAGTAAGAACTGACTTGACAGCCATGCATTTATTTGGGCGGCATTTGCTGAAAAATGCAATTTATGACTTAATTGTTTTGTCTTTGTGACTAATGTCTTAGATGAATTTGGCCTGGGCACTCATTGCTTGTCTAACTCCATCTATGAAAAGTGAGAGTAATTCATAGTTACCATTCTCTTCTGGTATATTTCATGTAACGTTTTGTTTCCTATGCACACAGATACATTGAGGGAAACATTTCTGAAATATATATATTGGATAAAAATACAGTGGAAGATTTAAAAATATAAATCTTTAGAGGGTAACACAACACCCAGTACATTACAGGTACTATAGAAATATGGGTCATAAACATAGTTGGCAACTATGATGCTCCTGCCTAACACAATGTGAGAAAGGTACCATTTCAGAGGCATTGCCATCCTAAATAAAACCCAGACAGGATGGATTGACAGGGTGGCTGCATCGATAGGCTCAAGCATAAGAAAGGTTGTGAGGGTGTCACAGGGCCAGGAAGTGTTTTGTTCCTTTGTACACAAGGTCCCCATGAGTTGGAACCAACTTGGCACCTCTAACAACAACCAGGGATACTGCTTTAGCCTCGTCCAAAATATTCTTACAGATCCTCTCCAGTGCACAGAAGCAGAATTATTTCTACCGCCTCCGCTGTTCGGGTTTTTAGCTCATAGCTTTCTGGCATTCTGAGAAACGAAGTTTTTATCTCTTAGTTCAAGGATCACATCTGTTTTATTTTTGCAACCCCAGAATCTAGCCTATTGTGTAAATCCATAAACGAATGACTATACAAACTAATGAAATGAAAACAAATAGCTTTAGAAAAATCTCTTTCTATCTGATGTTTTTCTTTAAGGTACCAAAGTATAACCACTTCAATACCCTGAGAAATAGAATGATCATGAGAAATGTAAATTTGAACAAGAATTAAGGCTAAGATTTTTAAATCTGTGTGACTAATTAAATTTTTATCTTATGAAGCCAACCTATTATGTGATTAAGCATAAGTAGACTGGCATCTACAACATAGGACAAAGAAAGCTGCCCCCATTTAGGAATCGTAATACTTAGGACTTACCCGTTGTCACGGATTCCCTTTGACTGAATCACCAGTAAAGCACCACTAGTCACATTCAGAACATTTTCTAACACTCCAGTCTGGTGCGCCTTAATCACCTGGTGAGCCAAATTATTTAATCTGTTACTTGTTAGGGATGTAATCAGTCCAATATTCTCTATTGTCGGAAAATCACCAATTTCAAAGACCATCACTTTTGAGATAGTCTCCACAGTAGCGGGTGGTGGGACACTCCCTGAGGTCATTGGCATCATGAGAGGTCTACGTCGACCAGCACTTCTATAAGGAGCGCCACAAGCTACAGTTGGGCAATTGAGTCTTCTTTTTGCTCGATTGTCAGCAATGGCTCTTATGGTCCCTTCATTGCCAGGCATCTCAAGGATAATTCTGATTTGGTCTTGTTTAACCTGTAAGAAATCAGTAAGTCTTTGAAGGATGACTGCTTCCCAGCCTTTTTCCAGGACTGAAGACATCACAGCAAAAGCCAAGTGAATGGAAATGCCTGCGCGTATTTCAATAGGCTCGCTTCCTTGTAGAACAACATACAAGAGATTATTCATGATGTTGAAATGGTTGGCCCCAACCGATTCATCCAGCAGTGGAGAATCTGACTGATCCAGAGTAGGTGGAATGAAATGTTCCCTGACAAAAACCTGTGGTCTCTGGGGCTCATGATAGAATATGGCCAGTAGAACCTTGGAGGTACTTTCGGTCCCTGAAAGAAAAAGACGTAAAACCTGAGGTGTCTGTCCCACAAAGCAGACCTTGGTGATTTGCCTCGTTGGTAAAATGGTATAAAACATAGATACAGATCCTGAAGGAGAACAGACAGTATGAGCGCTCACACTACTGAAGGTATCCACAAAACCACCAGTCACAGATACAACTGGATATAATCTTCTGATCATCCAAGAGGCATTTGGACTGTCAAGAATTAGGATCACTTGGTCAGTCTGTTTGCAGATGTAGCCTTGCATCAGAGATTGGTAGGTGCACTTCTGTTCATCTCTAAAGGTACCTATAAAATAAAGCAAAATAATCACCTGATGTATTAGCTACAATCTTCCAAAGATGATTTGTAATCCAGCACTCTCAGCAGCATCTGTAACATGTATTAAACATCTGAAATATTCTCTCACTTCTAATAGATTGATTCCGACTCATAGTGACCCTCTAGGACAGAGTAGAACTGCCTCTTTGCATTTAAATCTTTATGGGAACAGAGAGCCCCATATTTCTCTCATAAAATATGCTAGATACTTGAAATATAAAGACGACTAGGACCTAATCCCTGTGTTTAACATGCCAAAAGTCTAGGATTAGCTGTATAAAAATACAGAGACTCTTGTCCCTACTTGATCGAAATTATAATGACTCTACAGCACAAAGTAAAACTGCCCCATAAGGATTTCCAAGGGGGTAAACTTTATGGAAGCATACAACCACATCTTTCTTCTGCAGAGCTGCTAATGCATTTGAATTGCTGACTCTGACAGCTGTTTACTAGATGAATGTTCTTTTCATTGTTATACATGTTATTTAAATTTAATAATGCATATAAAGGTTCAATGTAAAAAATTGAATAAGAATATAAAAAATATATATTACTAGGGACTCCCAAATCAAAGAAGAGCAGAAAAGAATGAATTATAAAATTCACGTCCATGGGAAGAGAGGTAAATTGACGGGCTGAACAAGAGAATTTATAGAAGTATATTTCAGTTGAAAAAGTGTTTCGACTGGGTTGTAAAGGATTTGAAATGGCAGACCATATCATTTTCTCACACCTTGTCTGTTTCCCTATACACAAAAGTACAGAGATACAAGAAAAGAAAAAGTTACTTTAGGGACTTGCTGGCATTGAGTACAAGTTGAGGACCATTGGCACATACAGAGCACATGTAAAGAAAACATTGTCTCCTGATCTATACATTTTTTTACTTACTTATTTTGTTTAAATCATTTTATTGGAGACTCTTGCAGCTCTTATAACAATCCATCCTTCCATCCATTGGGTCAAGCACATTTGTATATATGTTGCCATCATCATCTTCAAAACATTTTCTTTCTAATTGAGCCCTTGGTACCAGCCCTTCATTTTTTTTTTCACTCCCCCACCCTCCCACCCTCATGAACGCTTGATAATTTATAAATTGTTTTCATGTCTTACACCAACTGCTGTCTCCCTTCACCCACTTCTCTGTTATTCATCCCCCCTGGGGGGAGTGTTATATGTGGATCATTGTGATTGTTTCTCCCTTTCTCCCCCAATGATCCCCCTACCCTCCTGGTATCACTACTCTCATTATTGCTCCTGAGGGATTTATCTCTTCTGGTTTCCCAGTGTTTCCAGCTATTATCTGTACCTGTGTACATGCTCTGGTCTAGCTGGATTTGTGAGGTAGAGTCAGGGTCATGATAGTTGGGGGGAGTAAGCATTAAAGAATTAGAGGAAAGTTGTATGTTTTGTAGGTGCTATACTGTACCCTGACTAGCTGGCTTGTCTCTTCCTTGTGACTCTTCTGTGAGTGGAAGTCCAATTGCCTATAGGTGGGCTTTGGGTCTCCACTCCACAATCCCCCTCATTCACATTGATATGATTGTTTGTTTGGGTCTTTGATGCCTGATACATGATCCCATCGGCACCTCATGATCATACAGGCTGATATGTTTCTTTCCTGTGGGCTTTGTTGCTTCTCAGCTAGAAGGCTGTTTGTTTATCTTCAAGCCTTTAAGATCCCAGATGCTATATTCTTTCATATCCAGTCACCATCAGCTTTCATTACCACATTTGTTTATGCACCCATTTTGACTTCAGAAATCATGTCAGGGAAGGTCAGCATCACAGAATGCCAAGTTCTTAAAACAAAGTGTTCTTGCATTGAGTGAGTACTTGAGTGGCGGCCCAATATCCATCTGCTACCTATGTGCATAGATATTTTCCCTATTGTTATATATAAATATATTTCCATATGTACATGCCTGTATTTATGCCTCTATAAATGTCCTTTGCCCCCTACTTCTTTCCTCTACTCCTGTTATTTCCTCTTGTCTCACTATCATGTTTGACCTTCATGCAGCTTTCATTAATTCCTCTTGGCTACATTGCCCAACCAGGCAATTACTTTTATTAGTAATTATGCAAGACAGCAAACCAACACCAAGAAATGTGTTTGAGCATACGAAGGCATATCATCACTTGAGTTATAAGTATTTACCTTATAAAACCGAGAGTTCTTTTTAGATATGACTAGGATACTAATTATAATTTGATTCCCTTTAGCAGGCAATGCACTAATAGAGACACACAAAAGTTGTTCAGAGTAGTTAATGAAATGTACAGAATGTAAATTTTCAATAAGGAATACAGTTCACAGGAAACAGTAAATATCTGAGTATCATATATACTCGAGTATAAGCTGACCCGAATTTCAGCCAAGGCACTTAATTTTACCACAAAAACTGCATTAAAAAATGTGTTGAAAAATCGGCTTATAGACAAGTATATATGGTAAATAAAATTTACTGCTATTTTCTAGCTATTTAAAAATGTATACCACTTTAACAGCAATACTTATTACCTCATGGAGTAATAAATATCAAAATAGTAAAATGTTTAATGCAACTATCTCATAAATAGATGTGAATTATATGGCCCAATATTAGGAGTGTGAGGTTTTGTGTCAACATAGCTGGGCCAGGACTCTCAGTGTTTTCATGGTTGAAGCCTCTTCCATGAAAAGATGTCATAATATAATCTGCCCCCTGATGGAATCTTCTGTGAGCAGCTAAGCAGTTGTGGGAAGATTAGGATGGGGCACTACTCCCTTAATCATTGAAAGGAAGTTTCTTCCATGGGAAGCCTTCTCCCCTTCTTGCTGGCTGGGACCATGCACTTGGCTTTGGGCCAAATTTTCTGTCAACCCTGGGCACTAACATTGGCCTCACATATTTCCTGCTGACCTTACATTCACTAAACTGCAGCCATGAGCCTGTGGTTTTACTGTTTCTTGGTTTGCCTTCCTTCTTCTTGGCTTTTCAGCCCTGGAAGATACTTGAGTTGAGAAAAGCCTCCAGGTTAAGATCTGACCCACAGGCTTGAACCAGACTGGATTTAACTTATGAAACTGTGAGAGCCACTTTCCTGATACAAAATAATCTATACATATGCATATAGAGACAGAGAAAATGTTCTTGTTTCTCCAGAGAACTCAGCCGAATACATATATGCTTTCAGGATTTATATGTTCTACATAACATTATCTCTAGGTAGAGCATACAAAACTGTACTTTCTAGGTTCCCTGGGGAAATCACTAAACTACTGACACAAAAGAAGTCAACAAATAAAGCAAACAAATAAATTTAACTAGCTGTACAAAAATTGTTAAATACTCTACAAGAAACTAGGAAAGGCAAAGAGAAGAACAACCCAACAACAATAACAACAACAACAAAAACAGAAGGAAAAAGGCATAAAACAGATAAAATGGTAGGCAACTAACAAAACAAAATGTAACAGAATTAAAGGGAGTAAATAGAAAGTTACATAATCATAATTAGAGAGTTTAATACTTTTCTGTCAGCAACTGTCAAACAAAAACCAAAATTACTTACCATAATTGATTTGAGCAATAAATCAACCCCTTTGACCGAATTGCTCTCTATAGACACCAGTCTCTACAACTGTTGAGTGGATAACCTTCAAGTAAACATGGCCTTTTTACCAAGATAAACATAACACAAAATTTAAAAGACAGAGAAAATACAGAGTAAGTTCTCCAACAAAAGCTGAATTAAATGGGAAATTGATAATAGTAGGATATCTAGGTAAACCATAATAAACAGAAAGTAAGCAGATGATTGCAAATAATCCATTGATGAGAATCCAATGAAGAAAAAAACAAAGGAAATTAGAAAACATTTCAACCTGATACTAGCAAACTTATAAAATATAGTTTGAAGGAAAACACACGGTGATGAGGGAACACATAGTGTTTAATCTTTGTATCAGAAAAGCTGTACCTAACCTCAGTGGTCTAGAGTGGTACTTCAGGATAGGTGGTGGCACAGTAATTAACTGATGGATGCTAACTGACAGGCTGTGGTTCAAAATCCACCAACCAGGAAAAAGACATGTCAGTCTGCTTCTGTAAAGATTACAGCCTTGAGAAATGTATGGGACAGTTCTATACGGCCCTATAGGCTTCATATGAGTTGGGATCAACTCAACAGCAATGGAATGGGGTAGGAGCATTTTAAGAATTCATGAAAGAAGAGCACAAAAAGCCCAACAGAAGCAGAAGGAATTTTAAACATTGGCATAAATCCATTACATAGAGGAGAAATGAATGAAAAATTCAATAACAGCAAAATTGACAAAGACAACAATTATGAAATTTGGTTCTTGGGGAAAAATACATTGAATAATTCCTTCTTTGACAAGGCAAGATAAAAAGAGAGGACATAAATCAATATCAAGAATAAAAGGGATTATCACTGTATATCCTATAAAGATTAGCAAGCGATATTACACTTAATTCCATGCCAGCAAATTCAACTTAGATGAAATAAACAGATTCCTTGAAAATTAACAAAAATTTAAACAAACAGTAAACACTTCACAATCTCATAAATAGAATTTATTAAAGTGAATACCCAATTAATTTCAATAAAAATGCAATTATCCACTATAACAGAATGTTCACATGTATGTAACATGCTTTCTTTCTGTAATAATAATAAGAATATTCAAATGTTAAATCAATAATTATCTCCAAAAGCATGAAACCAGGACGAAAGGAACTGATGGCATGATCTTCATGATCAGGGAAATTGTATGTTGAAATCCTGGTGTGTCAGGGCTTACTACTCTTATGTCTTTTCTAAATGAGATAGCTAAGTGGTTTTCCCTAATGGACAACTTCTGAATCACACTGATTCCCGATTTCTAAACCACAGAGCCTACTCTCCTTTTTGTATGACCTGCCCCCCACCTCCAGCCATGTTGAGAGTATTGA